CTGGAGCAATGAAGTCTCCAACTAGGGGATTAGGGATAGGAGAACATAGAGCAATGTGATTGTTTAAATTTTTACTGGAGGGGAACAGAGGTGGTTTACCTGTAAGACAATATGCAAAAGCAGGGCCACGTGTCAGGCAATTGAGAAATACAAGGAAACGGGTACTTTTGAAGAGTGTGGGGACCACCCTACTGCTTTCACTGTTATAAGAGTCTTGCTAAGTGCAATTGATAATTTGCAAAACGTAAAAGTCTGGGAGTACAAATCAGCAAGGACAGGCCTCGAGTGAAAGCCAAAAGTCCTCCTTATTAGTTGAAAAAGGCATCCTACCTGTGCAGAGGTCGGGGAAAGCTGAGGCCCAGAACTCAGTCCTCAGAGTAGCAGACCTCCAGAAAGCAGTGATCTCTCCACCAGGCAGCTTTGCTATATGCCAGTCAGGGCCCTGAATGGATAACTACAGGTCCTGAGCCACAAGAAGGAGCCATGTGGATCCAAGTGCCCAAAAGTCTTGAATCAATAATTCCCCTGAGATATACAAGCTGACAGAAGTGACCCCCTCTTAATTTAGGGCTCATCCCTACCCTGCCATTGCTTGGAGATGGTACAGAAGCTTGTGCTCTGAAATAATATTCACCACCCCCCGGCGGGGAGTGGATCCATCCCTTCCTGTCATGCAGGCCTGTGGGCAAATAAGTAGGATTATGTCAGCACAAAACCAGGACAAGAGGGTGTACAGGGCATAGGGCTGCACAACCAATCAATTATATACGGTAGGAACTGGAAGAGCATGCACAGGGCTGGATTGTGAGGGTGCAGGATCAAGGGGCAGAAACTCAGTTTGGATAAAGGGAGTTTATTACTAGAAGCCCTATTAGAAGCACTCTTAACTGCCAAGGATGTTGAGACACCGCCAGGACGATGACCCTTAGAAAGACTGAGAAAATGGTGGCTTCAGAAGCATTTGGCAGGAGTGGCTCTACCAGGTAAGGCTGGACAGCTCCCCAGGGTCGATGATTCTCAGGAGGGCCTGGCAGACACAGCATTTACTTGAGCAATGAGGAATGTGCTGGCAGAGAAGCACCAGCATCATCAAAAAGTTCAGTGGGTGGCTCTCCTCTAAGCTAGGGCCAGGTTGGGGAGGCAGGGAAGAAGGGGGTTCTGTGGTAGCAATAGAGATGGCAGGACCTGGAAGTGATAGAAGCCTGTTGGTGAGGCTTAAACGTAGAAGTCAAGTGAGTGGCAAAGAGAGAGGTACCAGCAAGGATGCCTGAGCGTCATGGGTGTTGGAAATGGTCAAGAGTACAGAGCCCCTCAGGGCAAGACAGATGGACCACCAAAAATGTACCGCCCACCCTGTGATCAGAGCAAGTAAGGAAGGGGAGCTAGAAGACTGGGAGGCTGAGAGCTCTAACTCTAGTAACAAACTCCTTAGGAAGCCAGATATGCAATGTCCAGTCATTCCAGAGTAGAGTACTGACTTTATGTATGAGTTTCCTGTGGCAGCTGTGACAAATCACAGACTGGACAGCAATAATCAAAAGAAATTTATTCCCTCACAGTTCAGGAGGCCAGAGGTCAGAAATCACCAACACTGGGCCAACATCAACGTGTTAGTGGGGGCCAAACTTCTTCCAGAGGCTCTAAGTAGATTCATTCCTTGCCTTTTCCTATTGCTGGTGGTGGCCATAATTCCTTGGCTTGTGGCTCCATCACTCCAATTTCTGCCTTCTCCTTCATATGGTCATCTCCAGTGTGTTTGTGTGTGTGTGTGTGTGTGTGTGTGTGTGTGTGTGTGCGTGTGCACACGTGTGTGCGTACGTGTGTGTGTGTGTGTGTGTGTGTATAATCTCCCTGTGTCTTTCTCATAGGAACACTTGTGATATATATCCAGGCCCTTTACTTATCTCAATCCAGGACACTCTTCCCATCTCAAGATCCTAATTTAACCATATTTGTATAGGACCTTTCCCCAAATGTGATAACAATTACAGGACTTGTAAATGATTACACCTGATATCTCTAGAACCACAGTTTAGCTCTCAATTCCCTATATACAACTTTGTGTTAAAAAAAACCTCACACATCTCTTCATGGGTGGAAATAGAGTCCGAGATTTCCCAGACAGGACTCCCCTCTGACAGGAGGTGCTTAGAGCTAGACCCTCAGGCTGAGGCTCCTTTGAGCCCTGTTCAACTCCTCCTCACCTGCTGAGAACACAAAATCTTTTCCAGGGTTCCTAGAACCTCCTCAGTTTCTCCCCTCTTGAGTTTTATGTCAGACATTTAAAAACTCCAAAATGTTTTCTCTTTGTCCCATTTCTCTCTTGCATGTCTACTGCCAGGATTGGCTTCAATTTTTATTCCACATTCCTCTTGCTCTGAATAGAGACCTGCCTCCCAGGTAGTGATCCATTGACAAGGGTCCCTGGGGAAGCTAGTGGTCCTGAGCTGGGAGTGTGTCAGGTGACAGATTCTACCCTAGATGGAGCATCAGGAACTTATCCATGGAGCATAGAGTGCATTACACAGACATCAGGGGTGGTGGGTGGGGAGCAAATTCCATTTTGGAAGGAGAGGGAGAAAGGGTGGAAGGGAGGTGAAGCCGATTCCCTAGTCTCCTCCTTATTCTTGGTTTTGGGCTGTCTCAGCTAAGCCACCAGGGGGCAGCAAGAGCCTAGATTTGGGGACTGCAATGACATCCCCCCACCAAACCCCATCCCCAAAGTCCTGCTGAGGTTTCTCCAGGCCTCAGCTTCTTTCTCCCCTTTCCTCCTAAGGGGGAAAACTCTTAAGTCCCTTCTCTGCACAATACAGTAAACACCCCTAAAACTTAGTCCCAGACCCAATCTCAGGCCACTGCAGAGGCTGGGGACAGAGAGGTGTGAGCACCCACCCTAAGGAGAGGCGGAAAGGGAATGCCATGTTCCCAGCCAGGTTTTGGTTTCTGGAAAAGGGGCTACTAGAGCTCAGTTCGACTGGAAGCCTTTGCTCATCCTCTTCATTCAGAGCAGGGATGAATAAGTCTTCAGCCTTCTGTGCAGCCAGAATTGTGTTTTCCGGGAAGGGGTAACGTGGGAAAGAGCAGGTCCTCTGCCCCTCCCTTCCTCCAAGCCATGGGTGACTGCAGAGAGAAACCAAGAGAGTAAAAGCACAACACCAAGTGTGGCATTTGCCAGGGTGACATATAACAAAACTACAGTTCTATTTTGTGGCCTTCTCCTCAGACCTGGCTGGGAATGTTTTTTTGTAACTTGCCTGAATGCAGCTGGAAACTCTTTGGGCAAATACCTTAGCTCAACTTCCCCACTTAGTTCATTCCACGAATAGGGTTACTAACTGGGCTGTTGGGGCACATTTCTGTGTCCTCAGAAAGATCCAGACATGTGAGGTATAAAGATATGGGCATTTCAGGCAGAGGAGTAGCCTGTGTAAAGGTGCTGAGGTAGAGGGACTATGGCCAATGAAAAACGGAAAGAAATCTAGTGGGCTGGGCAATGGTTGACTGGAGACTCAGAGCAGGGAGATGCATGGGAAGCTGTGGGGACAGCAGATAGATCACATCATGACTGAAAGCCTTGTGAAGAGGGTGAGTGTTTTCTAAATGAAAAGAGAATTGAGGTGAGGATTTTCCATAGTTTATACATGAGTTTTAGTCAGTTTTGCTTAGAGTTTTTACCCCAAACTGATTCTTTTCTAGAAAGCACTACTAGACTAAGCAACTCTCTGTCTATGGAAGAAACTTTACCTCAGGAAGGTGCATATCTTGAAATGGGGCTTTCTCAACGTGCACAAAGAGGACATTAGGAAGAAAGTCCCATATTCCCTGTGACACTAAAACGTGCCCTGAGGAGAGATCCCTGGAGCTGGGCCCTCAGGCCAAACCTGACCCCATTCCCTTTTCCCACGTCCTCAAACAGTAGAATTCACCTTCTGCTTTCCACTAGGTGGCTTTCAATCCTACAGAGCTTTCTCTTCTTTAGACAGTATTTTTTTTCCCCTACATTTTGAGAAGCCAATCTATCTTTACCTGTTCTCATTTTTCTCACTCAGCCTTTCTACTGGGGTTTGTTTCTTTAACATCTAATGTTGACTCCTCCCTGAGCCCAGAGATGCCTCACAAGCAAACTCCTAAGCCAAAGCTGTGGTGGGACATGCTGAATAGTCGTGAGGTGAGCGGTGGGCCACCTGGTGTGGCAGATGGCACATTCCATTCTGGAGAAAGTTCCTGGACCAAAGGAAATGTGCTACCAGGGAATAGAAAGGATCAGGGGGTGTGGTACTGAGTTGGGTGGGGGAGGGAAGACCACAGTGGGAGGAGAGGAGGGATTTTCAGCTGCCTTCCCTTCCCTGGTGCCTGCAATGCACCTTCGGGGGGCAGCGAGGGCCTGGATTTAGAGAAGGGATTTTCTGTGACTTAAGCTGTCCATATGAAATGTAAAGAGTTCCTTCCCACTGAGCCCCTCTGAGGCCTCAAAGTGTTGTCCTCCCCAATATCATCTTCTCAAAGTGCTGAAAAACAACCCAGGTTTCAGCCACAGCCTCAGTCTCAAACCACCACAGAGACGTAGGATGGAGTGATGCATGAGGACCCATCCTGAGGGCATAAAAAGGTGGTGAGGGGGAATCACGGCCCCCAACTCCACCTTTAGGCCCAGGAAACGGAGCAGTTGGATCTCATTCAGCCGGCTTGTCATCCTGGCCCCAGAGCTGAGTCACACATCTGGAGGAGAAGCCCTGGGATTCCTTACTTAGGAACCACCGGATTCTCATCACAGGAAATGTAAGGATATCTATGGGTTGGATCTATTTCCAGGGCACTGTCATGAGCTCAGTATGACCTGACTGATAATATGTTAAAGATTTTTAAGTCCTGAGTAAGCTCTGCTGCCCAGGGATGCAAAAGTATCTAGAATAAAGAGCCAAGTCAGAGGGTTGAGGAGAGGCAGGCCCAGGAAGCACATTTGCATGGCGGCCCCTCCCTCCTCTGAGCAAGGGGAAGGGGATAAGAGAGGTCTTGGGGAGCCAGGCCCAGGGTTGGGGTCTCAGAAGGCAGTGCTGTTGGGGCATCTGCACCATGGCCTGGGCTCTGGTCCTCCTCAGTCTCCTCACTCAGGACACAGGTGCGGCCTTCAAGGAAGAGTCCACAGGGACATCTGGACTGATCTTTGTCTGCTCTTCAGACTCACTTGGGCCCCCGGCACTGAACTCACTAGAATATGTTCTTTCTCTTTTCAGGGTCCTGGGCCCAGTCTGCCCTGAATCAGCCTCCCTCAGTGTCCGGGGATCTGGGACGCACAGTCACCATCTCCTGTGCTGGCAGCAGCAATGACATTGGGAGATATAATTACGTCTCCTGGTACCAACAGCTCGAAGGCACATCCCCCAAACTCCTGATTTATAATGTAAATTCCCGGCCTTCAGGGATCCCTGATCGCTTCTCCGGCTCCAAGTCTGGCAACACGGCCTCCTTGACCATTTCTGGGCTCCAGGCTGAAGATGAGGCTGATTATTACTGTTGCTCATATGCTAGTAGTAATACTCTCCACAGTGGTTCAAGTTTATGGGGAAGTGAGACCAAAACCTTCTCTGTACTCACAGGCTCCCTCCTTGCTCTGAAGATGTTTCCAACCCTGTGCAGAGGGGACTTCATGCAGCATGGTCTTGAGAATTCAGGTCTCTGTTCCTCTTCCTTCTCAAGATAAAGTAAAATGAAACACATTCTGCCAAATTGTCTGGGAAATGACAGAGCCTATTTGCTTCTTTGATATGGTCCTAGAAAGTGATTCTTTCCAACTCTGCAATGGCGGGAACCAAGGACCAGGAAGTGCCTGTGCAGTGCACTTCCTGCAATTCCCAGGGAATCCTCACTTTAAATGGCTCCATCTCACACACCAGTGCAGCCTGGCTTGAATTCAGTTTTCCAGAATTGATGTTGTCTTATTAAATCCAGTTTCCAACTTTCTCTTTTTTGGTTTATTGGGCGGGGGGTGCGGTAAGGGTTTTTTTCAGTTATATTTAGATAGCATACAACTCACAAGTTTAAAACAACGGCTCTTAGTATATTCTCCAAATTGAGAAGACATCACTGCTATCACATTTCTATTGTCCTAAAAAGAAATACTGTAACTATTGGCATTCATCTTCCATTTCCCACCAATTTGCTCAGCCTCTGGTAATCAATGATCTACACTCTGTCCCCATAGCATCCCCAGTTTGAACATTTCATATAAATGGAATTGCACAATAGGACATCTTTTGGGAATGACTTTTTTCACTCGGAATGATGTTTTCAAGGTGCATCCATGTTGTAGCATGTACTAGTATTTAGTTACTTTTACTACCAAAATATATCCCATTGAATGGATAACTCACATTTAAGGATTGAAATATAAGACATTTTTCAGTTGTTTCTACCTTGCCCTAGCCAACATGAGCCTCCTTGGTGAGCCATTCTTCAGCATGTCAGTGACTGAAGTAATACCACCTGAGAAAAGATCTAAGACATAGCTGAGGGAATGAAGATAAAGGGAAGGGTTTTCTTCCCCAATGTCCCTTCATCTTTAACTCCACATCCAAGGAATCTGAACAGGAGAGAATATGATTTGAGACTCTGTGACAGGTAGAATCTTCCCTCCCCTGAAATCAATGAGCCCCTGTCCTGGCAGCAGCCCTGCATGTGGACTGTCTGCCCCCAGGGTAGGCTCTTTCCAAAATGGCTCCTTTGTTCCACAAGGAAGAGTTATCTAGTATGCATGTCCCCATGTCACAGAGGTCCCCAAAACATCTGATTTCCATGGGTTATAAACCCAATTTCTGGGTGAAATGCCAATGATAAAAATTGCAAAACAACACATATACAAAAATGATGGCCAAGAATTCTTCATGCATTGAATGAACCTGAGCATGGTCTCCAGAACCTTGGTCAGGACCAAGTCTCTTCCCGGTTGAGCAGAACTTTCCATGTTAAGCACTGGAAGTGCCACATCTTGGCAATGACCTCATTCATGGGCAAATGGGGATGGATGTTCAGTTTAGCATAGATCCTAGTCTCTCTCTCCCATAATGTTCTTCTATGAATTATTTTCAAAATCTGTTTCAGTACCTTCTCTCTTTCCCTGATAAATGATCAGTACCTTCATACTTAAGTCATCTAGACTGGAAGAGCAACACACCTTGATTACTAGCAGTGGGTTAAAGTACTCTGCAATGTGGCATGTGCTAATAGAGGCACAGAATAACTTCCTGAATCACAGCTTCATGTTTGTGTAAGGCGATCAGAGGCTGTGCTTGACCTTAGGGTATGTGTCCTCATGTGGAAATTCTGTAGGAATTAGGCCCCTCCAAAGGGGCCATTGTCTTGTGAGTTTCTAAAGCAACTGTTATGAGAAATTCTTCCTGACTCAAATAGCATCAGTGTCCTTTTTATAAAGTATCTGCTAATGCATAGGAAGGCAGGTGTGACCATTGCCTCTACTAGCGTGCCTCCTTTTTTTTTTTATTACATTTTTAAATTTATTTTTGAGAGAAACAGAGCACAAGTGGGGGAGGGGCAGAGAGAGAGGGAGACACAGAATCCAAAGCAGGCTCCAGGCTCTGAGCTGTCAGTACAGAGCCCGACGCAGGGCTCGAACTTACAAACCGTGAGGTCATGACCTGAGCTGAAGTCGGTCGCTCAACCGACTGAGCCACCCAGGCGCCCCTAGTGTGTCTCCTTTTAAGGTGAGACCACCATTTCCTCTGGAGAAGGTAGTTATTATGTTTAGAGTAGGAACCATTACCAAGAAATATAGAAGCTAGATGTTGAGTGAACAGGATTGCTTCCAATATGAAATTTCTAGAGCTACAAAGCCCTTTGTGTCTTGTGTATATGAGTCTCGAGGTATAGGAAAAGCCTCTAGTGTTGTCTCTAGGGTTCAATATTTTTATAAAAAGATGAGAGAATTGTTACTTTTAATAGAGTCAATGTGAAATAACCAGGTTTTTCTATAATCAGAGTATCTACTAGTGTTTTTCTGGTCAATGCAAATAGGGAATCAGCACCTTAGGGCAAGAACATTCATGAGTCCATAGAATACCTGAGTTAAGTGCCACTCATTTTACATTGCATCTGTTCTGGTAATTTTATCTTTCTTTTTCCACTCACTTTCTATAGTTATGGAACTATCTTGTTTCATTAAACCTGAATGATAAGGATTTAGGGATTGATATTTGTGTATTTTTGGTTTATTTGCTTTAGCTTTATTGGTCATTAATCATATTATGTTCAAATGGTCATTGGAGATACTCTTGCCACTTATTTGAATATTATGCCTTATTGTGTGGTCAAAAGAACCCAGAATAATTAAAAAATATAGTGTTTCCTGCACCATGGGGACCTGAGTTTGCTCTTTGTACTAACAGAGCATGGGGCAGAAGAAAAGGTGGCTCCGACTGTTCCCAGGAAACCTTTCTAGTGATCTCAGGAGGCAAGGACCCAATCTATAAGACCACTCACTCAACCCCAGAACTAAATGATGGATTTATGAGAATGTCATTAACAGGTTACCATTTTATTACTATATGAGGAATAGACATTATTATCTAGATTCATTCTGTAGTAATATAGTACATACATGCTCAAAACACACATGAACAATCATTTCAAATAAAACAGCTAGCTATCACTTCCTCCTACTACACATCCTCTTTCCCTCAATCCCATATCCACCAGTTATTTCTTTCTATCTCTGGCCAGGGCATCACTTTTCTTGTGTTCTTTAAATGTCCTTCATAGGGTATGAACAAGGACACTAAAATAGTTTCATAAGAACATTCACACTCTATAGAAATATGTCCATTTTCTGAGTGGGCATTTCCATTACCATTCTGGCAAAGAGTAGTCAGCCCTGATTAGAGTCTTTGCCCTAAACCCATCTCTTTAGGAAACACACGAGGTCAAAAATCCTTTTGTGGATGAAGAGGCTGTATTTCAAGATGACACACAGCTCCGAGGGGAGATCTTCTCAATATGCACTAAGGGGCAGGATGAAGAATGTCCAAGTCCCTGTGATCAATAGAAATACTCTCTGTTGAATTGTCTGGGGACAGTCACAGCTTCCTCTTTGCCTGTATGTTACAGCTCCAGAAGGTAGCTCTTTCCAACTTCTCCACAAAGAACAGAGGCACAAGGAAATGCCTACTCAGTGCAATTTCCATAACTGTCAGGAGAATCCTCACTTTAAATGCCTCCATCCCATCTCCCACACCAGTGCAGACAAGCTTATACTTAGGTCATGTAAATTGTCATTGACTTATTCTCTACTCCACCATGCTATAATCAAAATGGCCCTCCTTGCAGGGTTATTCTTGTGTTGAAGCAAAAGCATTTGAAAAAACATCAGATGATATTGCCTAGGGAATGATGACCAAAAGACATTATTTTTCTGTCTAGAGTTCCTCATCCTTGACCCCATATCCAAGAGATTTCATCCAGGAATATGACACACATTGAGCTCAGTTAGATGTCTGAACCCCCTCTGCTCAGATGCCTGAACCCCTATCCTAGAAACCACCCAGCATGTTTCTGTCCCCTCATTAGAATGGGTGCTTTCCAAAATGGCTCCTCTGTTGCACAAGGGATATTTTGTGGGTCATTCCATACATCCTCTGGAATTCTAAAGGATATCTGATGTCCTTAGCTGTCCCCTCAAATGTTAGCTAGATTTCCATTTATACTGAATTGGTATGTACACATCACATTAAGTGTCTGTTCAAGAATTTGTTGGACTCCTAATTGAAACAGGGCTTGAGTTCAAGAGACATGATAGGGTACCACCTTCACTTTACCAGTTTTAGCATGGCAACCCATGTCTGGCATACCTGACTGTTGTTCACTGTGTTTAAAAGCTCAGTCTTTGTCATACATTAATGTACTTAATTTTTTTTTCACAATCCCTTTCGCATACGGCCTTTATGATGTCAAGGTATGTTCCATCAACTTCGACGAGGATTTTATCAAGAACAGATGGTGTATTTTGTCAAATATTTTTTCTGCACCTATTGAGAGGATCATATGGTTCTTACCCTTCCATTTATTAAGGTGGTGTCTCATGTTGATTGATTTGTGAATATTGAACCATTTCTGGAACCTACGAATACATCTCACTTGATCGTGGTGAATAATTTTTTTAATGTACTGTTTGATTTGGTTTGCTAGTATCTTCTTGAGAAATTCTGTAGCCATGTTAATCAGGGATATTGGCCTGTAATTCCCCTTTTTAGTGGGGTCTTTCTCTGGTTTTGGAATCAATGTAATGCTGGCCTTGTAGAAGGAGTATCAAGTTCTCCTTCCATTTCTATTTTCTGGAACAGTTTGAGAAAAATATGTATTAACTCTTCTTTAAATGTCTGGAAGAATTCCCCTGGGAAGCTTTCTGGCCTTGGACTTTTGTTTGTTGGGAGATTTTGATTACTGATTAAATTTCTTTGCTGGATATAGGTCTGTTCTAATTATCTACTTCTTCCTGTTTTTGTAGTTTGCATGTTTCTAGGAAATTGTCCATTTCTCCATATTGCTCAGTTTGTTGGCATATAATTTTTCATAATGTTCTCTTAATAATTGTTTGTACTTATGTGGTATTGGTTGTGATCTCTCCTCTTTCATTTGTGATTTTATTTAGTTGAGTCATTTCTCTTTTCTTTTTGGTAAGTGTGGCTAGAGGCCTCTCAGTTTTATTAATTCTTTCAAAGAACCAGCTCTTAGTTTCATTGAGCTACTCTACTTTTTTTGTTAGCTTGTTTCTAGATCATATTTTTCTGCTCTAATATTTATTATTTTTCTTCGCTGGCTTTAGGCTTCATTTGTTGTTCATTTTTCTAGCTCCTTAAGGTGTAAGGTTACTTTGTGTATTTGCAACTCTTCTTGCTTCCTGAGGAAGACCTGTATTGCAATATACTTCCCTCTTAGGACTGCCTTTGCTCCATCCCAAAGGTTTTGGACTGTTGTGTTTTCATTTTCATTTGCTTCCATGCATTTTTTTTTAAATTTATTCTTTTAATTTCCTATTTAACCCATTCATTCTTCAGTCAGGTGTTCTTTTTTTTTTTAATTTTTTTTTAACATTTATTTATTTTTGAGACAGAGAGAGACAGAGCATGAATGGGGAGGGGCAGAGAGAGAGGGAGACACAGAACCGGAAGCAGGCCCCAGGCTCTGAGCCATCAGCCCAGAGCCCGACACGGGGCTCGAACTCACGGATCGCGAGATCGTGACCTGAGCTGAAGTCGGAGGCTTAACCGACTGAGCCACCCAGGCGCCCCAGTCAGGTGTTCTTTTAATCTCCATGTCTGCTCACTTTTGGCCCCACCATCACGACAACGGAGGCTTTGTTTTTTATTGCTGTTGACAACAGACCTCAGATGGCTGCTGCAGCTCCAGCTATCACAACCAAGTACAGGGAGAGAACACTGCATAATTCTACTCTGTTTCTTCCCTCACAAGAGTAAAAGTCCCCTAAAAGATCCCCACCCAAATGATACATTCAAGGGGCCAATTCTTGGCCACAGGGCCAATATTGACGTCTCAAGAGAGACTTGACAATAGCAATAGTATGGTTTCTAAATGAATATGGAAGACGAGATACAAGTAGGAGAGGTTGGAGACTGTCTCCGGTACCAACAAAGCAAGACTTCCACTCTGCTGCAGCAGTCCTAAGATGGAAACTCTGACCCAGGGCCCGTGTCCTGTTCACACTGATTTCCCAGGATGCAATGTGTCCCAGACTAAGAGGATCTGAATTAGTGTTTGTTGGACGAATGTTTTCCTCTGTCTTGGGAGCAGTAGCCGTCATCACACTATTGGCGACACCAGCAGCCAGTGCCAGTTAGAGGCAGTCCCTGGCTTCTGTGTAGCTTTGTGTCACGCCTCAGAACCACTCCCACGGCCACCCACCTCCCCAGAGACAGGAGCAGTGATACCGCAGATGGGCCCTGCCTCCTCCTCCTCCTCACATGAGCCTCTTCCTACTTGCATGGATAACCTGACCTCCTCCTGCCTGGTCTTGAGGCTGACAGAGGCCCCGCAGAGAAGAGGAATTCCTTCCCTGGGGTCAGCAGTCCACGAATCAGGGAATCAGGGTCTGAGCACTGGGTTCTGAATCTCCACCCGGACAAAGGATTTCACTGGGCCTCGGGCGGTCAAGTGGAGCAGCCACCAGGGGGCAGCAGAGATCACCCGGCAAAGCCCCCTGCACATGGGGAGGGTCTGGGCAACAGGGCATATGCAGGGAGGGTTAGTCATGAGACTTGACTGAAAAGTGTAGGTTGTCTATGGCATCACCTTTGACTCTGGTGTAAGCTACTGGTTCAGTGTCTCTCAGATTTGTCTCCTGTATAATGTGCTCCTGTCTCTAGCACAGATCCAGCAATTCCTGCCTCTCCAGCCCGGCCCACAGCTGCTTAACTCAGCCACTGTCCAACCTTGTTCAAGGTGGGTCTGCCTCTGGCATTGAGAGCCCCCTAGGCATACTGAGGCACAGCATCGATGGCCTACCCCAGGAGCTCTCCCTCAGGATACAGTCCTACAGAACTTCAATAGCTCGTTGAAACTCCGTGTGCACTTGACAAGGGAGGAATTTCTTCAAGTTCTGAAGTTCCTCAACATAGACCTGGGGTAGCACACTGCATTGACCTAAGTTCCCCAGTCACCTAGAGAGTAAACATTCTGTAATGGGTTCACAAAAGACAGACAGAGGTGCCTGGATAGCTCAGTCGGTTGACCACCCAACTCTTGATTTTGGCTCAGGTCAGAATCTCACAATTCACGAGGCCAAGCCCTGCATCAGCTTCATGTTTGTAGGTTGAGCCTGCTTGGGATTCTGTCTCTCCTTTATCTCTCTCTCTCTCCCCCTCTCTCTGCACCTCCCCTGCTGATGTGTGCTCTCTCTCTCTCTTTCTCTCTCTCAATAAATAAGAAAATCTAGAATAAAAAAGACAGAAACAAAATGTAGACAGATTCCATCCTTGAACTCTGCTGTGTTGACACCCACTCAGGAGCCAGGCAAGGACAGGGAGAGGGATGGAGTGTAGGCCCCAGACTATGGGATCACAGGGTGAAGCATATCCTTTGGGCTGAGGGTGGGTGTGCAGGGGCCGCCCCTCCCATCTCTGTGTCCCTTGGGGCTGAGCCCATTTCTGAAGCCACGAGGCTCCTCAGCAGCATCCCCTGAGCCCTGGCTGATTTGCATGAACAGCAGGTATCTCCAGCAAGGGGATAAGTCAGGCCTGGGAGGAACCCTGCCCAGCCTCAGGACCTCAGGGAACAGAATCGAGGCACCTCCACCATGGCCTGGATCCCTCTCCTCCTCGGCCTCCTCGCTTACTGCACAGGTGCTGTGCCCAGGCTCACACCCACCCCAGGCCCAGGGTTCCGGGACAAGCCTGGTCCTGACTCTGAACTCAGCAGGGGAGTCTCAGTGGGGACAGGATGCTCAAGACCCTGCTGTAGGATGGGGGGCTGGTGGGGTGATAGCCCCCCCACTGTGCTCACTGATCTGTGTGAGCCCTGAAGGGCTGCACCTGCCCAGGGAAAGGAGGGGGGTGGTTCTCATTTGTTCAAAGGCTCCATCCACCAGGCGGGCCCAGGGGTCCCAGGGACTAAGATGACAGCAGAGTGGACACTGGGGCCTAGAGAATCACTGGAGCTTAAGCCAGGCAGGTGGGAGTGTTCAGGGGATGACACCCCAGGCTGGAAACCCACCTCTCACCTTCTCTCTTGCAGGCTCCGTGGCCTCCTATGTGCTGACTCAGCCCCTGTCAGTGTCAGTCAACCTGGGAAAGACGGCCAGGATCACGTGTGGAGGAAACAACATTGGAAGTAAATATGCTTACTGGTACCAGCAGAAGCCAGGCCGGGCCCCGGTGATGATTATCTATGATGATAGCAAAAGGTCCTCAAGGACCCCTGACCGATTCTCAGGCACCAACTTGGGGAACACGGCCACCCTCACCATCAGCGGGGCCCAGGCTGAGGACGAGGCCAACTATTACTGTCAGATGTGGGTTGGCAATAATGATGTTCACAGTGATACAGGCAGATGGGGAAGTGAGACACAAACTCTTTCCCCATCTGTGTCACACTCTCCTTCATCCCCTGGAGGCTTGGGGACAAAGCAGAGTGGGTCTGGTCAAAGTTCCTGGAGCTGAGGTCCCCAGGTTGCCCCCTCCCTCACAGCCCTCTAGGACAGGGATGGTCACAGAACATATGTATAGCTGACAACACTAGGCTTCCCTGGTTCTCTGGGCCTGGGACTGAACTGAGGTCACAGCATAGGGGGAGAAAAGACACAAGAGACTTTTGTCCAGTGGTCATCATCTCTGCATTTCCATGGGGTGGTCGTGGGCTACTGCTCATGCAACTGACCAAAATTAGAGCCCCAAATTTCCCAGCTCACCTGAGGTCTTGAAGCCCTGATGCCATGAGTGCACCTACCTCCACCTGAGTGGAGCAGACGGGTGCAGTAGACACTGGGGCATTACCCACATCCCCCCTTCTGGGCTCACGTCCCCACCCATTGCTGCCTGGAGCCCCTGACAGCTCATAGGGGTGATCCTCCCTGGGAAGTGCTCTTGGTTCAGAAACTGACTCCTTAGGATATGGCCCTTCTCAGAGAGGTTCAGTCAAATGATCTCTTGAAGCCTAGATCCAAGGCCCTGCCTCAGTTCCAATGTCCTAAAGGGTCCCCATTTTAGAGCTCCCTGCAGGAATGAGGCCTCATCTGATGTTCCACACCATGTGGGTTGCTCTCCTACTCCCCAGTCTGGCTTCACTTCTTCCAATTTCTTACGCATGCACTTCTTCATCTCAGAGTCTCCTTCCAGGAACCCAATCCAGGATGGCTGGCATCCCAGACACGGTCCTGAGAGACCTGAGGAGGCCACTATATACACACAAAGTTGGGCTTTCTTCTACAAAACCCAGTGTGCATGTCCAGTCTCCAGACAGATAGGATTGTTTCTTGTATTTTTAACAATGAGAAACATTTTAAACAATGAGAAAAGATGCACATACTAGATGCTCTGGGTTTTGACAGACAGAGAGCCACATCCATCCTGCGGGTGAATGGGGGACATTGGGGCGGTTGCCTCCTTCTACAAAGTGACCAGAAGATACACAACCATGGGAGTGAGACACAAAATGGGTGCTGCCTCACTTCCACCCCCCAAATCATGCACAGGAATCTCTCTTTATACCCACCCTAACCAGAAATATAGACAGAAAACATTTCTGTGAAATACAGTTCAGCCTGACACTTAATACGCCACCACAGTCAACCCCTGTCCACATGAAATCCACCCAGATGCACGCAAACCAAGTCTGTAGATGTAGGGAATATCAGTAACCATGGTCCACCTGATATGATGAAACTATCCCATGACAACCACATATATGCTCACCCTGCCCCCTAAACAGGATAGGAAATACACTTTTGTCTGCTAGGGATATTTATTTTTGTCCTAGACGATTTGCTATCCTATAACTTCAATATTGAGATATAAAGTTACATACTGTTCACACATTTGATGTTAGATGATAATGAGACGACACAGAGAAGAAAATGAACACATACGATTACTGTATATCCAAACACATTCCTACAACATAAGGAAGAAACACTTGTTCCTTTTATCCTGTTCATTTCTACAGCTACCCTGTGGTTAGAGTGGTGTCTATAACTACCTTCGTCACCACGCACTCGATATCCCTCTTTCCACAGCAAACATCCCAGCCAGTTAGCACAACTAAGCCTTCATTCAAGAAAGTTAGTCGATCGTCAGACCTGCTGAATTGGATTGTGGTGCATTGATGACTATAATGCAGACCCAGGGAATATTAGGGGATCTTCTGAATCCATACACACTCCTTCTTGCCCCAGTTGTGCACTAGAAATGCAACTCCCCATTTATCACCGTGAATTACCCCAGGAAGTGCCCCCGACATTTCCTGATGATTCACCCCAGGAGGTGCCTAAAGTAGACAAGGCACACTGCTTGCCTCCAGAGCTGTGCAGACCATATTCCCAGAGATATCACCCCATCCACAGCACACACTCCATGTGGCTGGTGAAAGAGTCTAATCTTAAATCATTCCTTCCACATCACTACAGGGACTAGCCCTTGAATCGAACTTGCTTGACCAGGTCAGGACAGTTAAGCCCCATGTTCCAGGTGGCCAGAAAGGACCTGGGGAGACCAGGAGAGGAAGTGACATTTTCCATGGTGGCCTAGACCCCTAGACTGCGATGCTCAGTGAGCACACAGTCCCCCGAGGAGGGGGGGTCTCCGCAAGATGCAGCTGCAGCAGGTCGGGGTGGGGTCCGGGCATCTGCATGCGGAACAGCTCCCAGGGCCCTGTGGTGCTGATCCTCCCAGGACCACACTCTGCGTGGCTTCACGCCTGCTCCCCTGCTCCCAGCACAGGTGAGAGGCCCACAGGGAGGCACAGTGTGAGGCACAGATACCCTGCTGTCTCCCATCCAGGGCCTGTGGGGATGGGGCCCTGCCCTCACCCCTGTCCACGTTGCTACCCTGGTTAGGGCTGGGATGAGTCCATACTGACCCAGCCTCCCTTTCTTTCTCCAGGCTCCTCTCCTCTCCTCTCTTACAGACTCTGTGTCTCTCCTGACATGAAGTGGACTCCCCCTGTGTCACAGGCCCTGGTCAGGTACAGGATCCCCAGCTCTGAAGATAAGTTAATGCGTGAACATGCATCTTGGTACCAGCAAAATTCAAACCAGGTCCACGAGCTGGATATACGTGCAGATACGAGCGGTTCCAAATGTGATTCTGAGGATGGAACTTAGGGACACGCCCCTCCCGAGGGCCCCCCGGAGGGCCCGACAAGACTGATCATTTCTGTACTACATAATGTGGCAGTGGGAGTGCTTGGCAGTGACTCAGATGACACAGAAGAATGGTGCACAAACACTCCTCCAAGGCCTGCCTGGCTCTCACTCTCACCTGCCCTCTGATCAGGTGTCCTCCCTGGTCCTGGCCCAGCCCCTTGCAACATGAGAGATTCTAGCAGGTTCTTTGGCCTCCTGTCTCTGTTTATCCTACTGAACAGTGGTGAAGGAGAGGGGGCTATTTTGACTATGAGGACTGTAGTCAGGTTTTTTAGTAGATAATAAAGGTTTAGGATGTCACTATACAACACATGGGCCCCAGATGTAATCACGTGTCACTCAAGAGGGGAGACAGCTGTCTCAGTATGTCCTGCGGGCACTCCTCTTGTCCTGGGTACAGGCAGCCTGGATGGGCCCCGTGTGCTGTGTCACCCCTGGTTCCTGGATGAGACCTCCCCACATCGTGAAGAGCTACCTGAGGCTTCATGAAGAGAGGACCAGGACCCTCCTGCCCCTGGCTCTGCCATCCTCAAGTTTTACAGAAACTGGGGAAAGTGCAGACACTACCTTGTGTCCCACCTGGGGACTTTCACCTGGCACCATTGAACTCCCACTGTCCCAAATCCTATTACATGCACCAAGCAGGTCTGACCCTTAGCTGAGGTCAGACCCACCATGGACTCACACCTCTCACCCCACCCC